GCACTCCGCTTCTTCCAGGCGGCGATTTTCTCCCGAAAGATGCGGGTCTGCTGTTTCCGCTTATGTTTATACCTTTCCACGTTCTGTCGGGTTCCATGCTGCAGCATTACCGCCCGCGCTGCGTTCTTCTCCTCCAAAATCGCTCTGCACTCCTCGTCGAACCATTCATTCCGTCGACTTCTTTCCACGTACCCGATGGTGCTCTCGGCTGCGTCGGTGATGGCTGCTTTTACTGTACTCCAGCAGTCCTCTAGAGGGGGTACATCGAGCTCGCCCTCCTCTGGCAACGCTGCCTCGAGATTCTGCGCGTATGCTAAGGTGACATCCGGTTGCTTCAGTAGCTCTAGGTTGTACCGTGGCGGGCGTCGGTACCGTACATTGTTGATGAACGAAAGTTTTTTGGGCGCAGTTTGACCATCACCAGGTAGTGGTCAGAGTCGATGTTAGCGCCACGATAGGTCCTGACGTCGATAATGTCGGAGAAGTGCCGACCATCAATCAGTGATTCCGTCTGCTGTGGTGATCTCCAGGTGTAACGATAGGGGAGGTGGTGTTGGAAGAAGGTGCTACGTATGGCCATGTTCTTGGAGGCGGCGAAATCGATGACTCGTAGGCCGTTCCCGTTCGTCAGCTGGTGGGCGCTGAACTTTCCAATCGTCGGTCTGAATTCCTCCTCCTGGCCTACCTGAGCGTTTAGGTCTCCTATGATGATCTTGACGTCGTGGCTTGGGCAGCGATCGTACTCGCGGTCGAGCTGCGCGTAAAATGCGTCCTTGTCATCATCAGTGCTTCCGGAGTGAGGGCTGTGCACGTTGATTATGCTAAAGTTGAAGAATCGGCCCTTGATCCTCAACCTGCACATTCTTTCGTCGATCGGCCACCAACCGATCACGCGCTTCTGCATTTCGCCCATCACGATGAAAGCTGTGCCCAGCTCGCGTGTGTTGCCGCAACTCTGGTAGATGGTATGATTACCTCTGAACGTTCGCACCATGGATCCTGTCCAACACACCTCCTGCAGCGCTACGATGCCGAATCCGCGGTCCTTCGGTAGATTGGCGAGTATTCGGGTGCTCCCGATGAAATTGAGAGATCGACAGTTCCACGTGCCGAGTTTCCAATCGCAAGTCTTATTTCGTCGCTGGGGTCGTTGCCGTTGGTCTCGGTTCGTATTCCTCTGTTGCTGATTTTCCGTTGCAATGCTTTTTTACGGATGGCTCGCAGGGCCTGACACCAACCCCCTAACTTTCCGGAGGACCAGGGTGCACAGTTGTGCTTAGAGTCCTTCACTGGCACTCGGACGTAGATCAGCTGCCCCTAACATGGGAACAGACGCTGTTGTGAGCCGCTCCTCCTGGAGAACAGACGCTCAGGCTTGCCGAAGCAAACCCCCCCCCCCCCCCTTCCCTGTCAGCCTATGACCAAAGTTCCCACCGGGGTTGGTTACCCGATCTTCCCTAAGGTTGCTCACAGTTCCCGGCCGGTACCACGGGGAGGTAGGGATAGGAGTTGCTGGGAAGAGGCTAGTGATCTCAATCGGATCTGTATTGCGCATTACCCAGCATTAACCGACCAGCTTTGTTTATATATTTGTCGATTTAATTTTTGAGTCGGTAAAGTAGAAGTAGATGAAGTAGAATATTGTAGAAAATTGAACTATGATGTGCAAAGCTATTGATATCAGCATGTGAGGCACATAGAATCCAAGTGCGTCACAATTCGAACCAATAGTTTTGAGGCATGGCTGAAAGCATAAGATTCAAGAAATGGATGTGTTTCACAATAAGTGCAAAATTAAGTGTGAGGCACATGATGATGACGTGTGAAATTTTTTGAATGTATGAAAATTTGACAGATAAAATCAGGGGTTCGTGTATTTTCATATGTTTCGAGGGGTGCATCGATTAGCTTCGGACCGAAGATAGTAACAGAGCTGAGCCAAAAATGTGAGCACGTTTCTTTGGGACCTTCTGATCTTAGAGTTACCTCTATGTTAGTGTGGTATGGTAGCAAATGATTCGCCGCCCTTCCGTAGCGTTGCCACTTACTTCAACTCCAGCCTTCGTTGACTTCTTAACAGACATCAAATTGTCTCGGAGTTCCGGGACAAACAGTACCTCGTCAGCACACATCATTATACCACGATTACTGGTTCCAGAAATCATTCCAGCTTGCTTATCTACTAGGAACAGTCCATCTTTAGCAACATTGATAACAACTGGTTGGTCCAATGAGCTCAAAGTCTTGAAGAAGTTCTTCGTATTCGATCGATCTAGAGTCAAGCTTGAACGTTATCTTCCTGAAAACATCACTGTCATGAAAACAACGGTCTTCGAACCAGCTGCCATGTTTGCGTGCCTTTAGTCTTCTTGCAGTCCTTCTTCATGTGCACACTTTTTCCACATTGATGGCAGTTTTCGTTAAACTTGCCCTCTTTAGTTTATCCTCTTGCCCTCTTTAGTTTATCTCCGACAAACGCAGTAGACTTCAACTCTGAATTCTGCATCCGATCACTCCGCTTCGACTCTTAGTTGATTAATCGTGCCTTCATCAGCTCGTCACAAACGACCCGTAGGATTCCGGTAACGTCAAGGATAGGGTCAAATAAATGTCACTCTTTTCAACAGCCGATCCAGCCATGCAAAGTTGACGAATCAAGTCTTCAAACTCCAGGAGATAGCGCAAATCGACGCTCCTTTCTTCAGATGTAGCCTAGCAATCTGCTTCCCTGCTCACTTTTTGCAAACGTGTCTTGTACACAGCAAAAAAATAATTTTGATATCACATCAAAGTGGATGCACTACAATCATGTCGAAAATTTCATGTAATTTTTATGACCACATAAATAAACAAATGCAGTAAAAGCAGCGTAATGTCAGTTCATGCATTGTATTAATGATAATTTTGTCCTTTTTAGCAAGTAATATTACACCATATTTTCGACATGATTGTAGTGCATCCACTTTGACGTGATACCAAAATTATTTTTTTGCTGTTCCACATAGCCTTCACGGTAGTTTTGTTCCGAACACAGCCAAGATATTCATCGGCTACAAAACTCACCAGCATTTCCTTCGCTTTACGGTCCATCACTTGGAATTTCACCGCTTGAGCCGCTTCTGCAGGCAGTGAAACAAGTAGTTCAAGTAACGAGAACAGTTTATTAAATAGGTCTATTCAGCTTGATGGCTTGACAGTGAATGATCTTCATACGCTACTATGAAAGCTGGCTTCATCCAATGATTGCTTCGTTTCTCAACATTATTACTATCACATCCACCCTATCAGTTTCAGTGTTTAATTTTTTCCAAAAATATCGATTTTAGAAGCGAAAACAGAATAAATATTTGGTAGACCAAGTATGAGATGGATAATAACTAGGTAGGTCACGACTTTTCATACACAATTCCTGACAGTTGGTGAAAGGTCATTTGGATTCAAGCTGCTGCACGGGTAAGTTGATCATTTATTAGCTGCGTCGTGGGTGATTTGCCCATAATTAATAGCGCTGGATTTTCACACCAAGGATGGACCAGTTCGGTACAATAAACGCTACTGTGTTACCTGACTTATAACAAATATACGTTGTATACGATATAGTTCGTCTAATTTTACATTGCAAATTCTATGCAAAATAAGACGAGTCATACGTTGTATTCGGGATACTCGTATGAAACGTATATTCGTCATAAGTCAGGTAACACAGTAGCACTTGTACCGAAAAAATGTTCAAAAATTAATTTTTAATTTGATAGACATCGAAATGTTTCTGCATACAATATAAAATCAACAATCAATACCAAACTATCGATTTTAAATTGGATCACTACTTGACTAGCCTATTGGTCCCAAGCAAATCGATTAACGTACCCAATTCCAGTCGAAATTCTAGTACTACACTATGTTTGTTTTGCTTCGCTATGAAAGTTTGACAGATAAAATGAGGGGCTCGTGGATTTTCCTATGAAAGGGTTTATCGATTAGTTTGGGACCGAGGATAGTACCAGTGCTGAACCAAAAAGTTGAGTGCTTTTCTTCGGGACCTACTAGTCTTAGAGTTACCTCTATGATAAAATGCAGTAACTTCTTTGACTAGCGATATCTGTTTCGAAAATCAACCATGCTGTTAATCTATTGAGTAGTATTTCTACAAGATAAAAAGAGATGCAATACCATCAGTCGTTAAGTTAAATTGAACCAATGAGGTGTATACAGATGAGGAAATCATCGTAAACTGGTGTTCGTGTAGTGCAACATATGTCATAGTATTTGTGAACTATACCTACCGTGATGTCAAACTCCACTTTTTTCATGTCAATGTCTGGGTACTGTGGATTCACTCAATCTGCTTGTGACTTGGGAGCCAGTGTGAACTATCAAACAGGAGTCAAGCATTCAGAAGCAACAAATCTCTTAAAAATTAATCCATACTTTTCCATAACACCCCCCATTCCCCCCATTCAAAGACAAAAACCAATGGAAGTATAAAAACCTGCATAGTTTTTATGACTCAGCTGAGTTTTCAATTGCAGTAAAACATACTTAGGCGAAACATGTATGTAAACAAACTATTTTAGAGTCAAGAAGGCTCGAGCACTCCCGGCTCAGTGCTTTTAACTTGGCTTTTAACGGGACTCAACTGAGAAAGAGCAAAACAGTTTTAAACTTGAGAAATTTTTCAAGCAGTTTTCCATTGGTTTGCAAATTAAAATCGATCTATTCTGCAGTACCCAGGTCAATTTTTAGGAGTTTTTCGTCATCACCGATTGTTTACCTCTGTTTTGCTACTAATCCCAACAAATACCCTCTTATGCCATACCTGTATAGACCTCATTGAAATTGAACGGCCGTGTACTGCAGCGCCTCTAGCGGAAAATTGTAAAAACAGCCACACCTAATCGGGTCCCTACTTTTGTGCACCACCCCTGGATGAAAACTGTCATCGGTGGTTGTGATTTCGGTATCGGATTCGATGTGCGAGTTGGTTGTTTTGAAATCGTATTGTGCGTCGTGATCAGATTGCACTTCAATTTGTGTGTTATTCCTTCAAAACACTAATAATTAATCATGGAAAAGCCTCAAAAAATGCCCAAAGTGGCCAAGGTAAGGAATCTCAACAAAGTTTTCGAAATACCATCGACTAATTTGCTGTCTCGTAGGTCAAAAACAAAGCCCCAGCGGAGGTCCAAATCACCGCCGAGCAGCTGCTCAGGGAAGCTAAGGAACGTGATCTTGAAATCTTGCCTCCACCACCGAAGCAGAAAATCTCCGATGCCGCTGAATTGGCCGACTATCAGCAGAGGAAACGGAAAACGTTCGAAGATAATCTACGCAAGAACAGAATGGTGGTGAGCAACTGGATCAAGTATGCCCAGTGGGAAGAATCGCAGAAGGAGATCCAGCGAGCCCGGTCCATTTGGGAACGTGCGATCGACAATGAGCACAGAAACATCACGATCTGGTTAAAGTACGCCGAGATGGAAATGAAGAACCGACAGGTGAATCATGCTAGGAATCTCTGGGACCGGGCCGTGACGGTAATGCCAAGGACGAACCAGTTTTGGTACAAGTACACGTATATGGAGGAGATGTTGGAGAATGTGGCCGGAGCTAGGCAGGTTTTCGAGCGGTGGATGGAGTGGCAACCGGAGGAACAAGCCTGGCAGACGTACATCAACTTTGAGCTGCGGTACAAGGAGATTGACCGGGCCAGACAAATCTACGAGCGGTTCGTGATGGTGCATCCGGAAGTGAAGAACTGGATCAAGTATGCTCGTTTTGAAGAGGCACATGGTTTCATCAATGGGTCTCGAACGGTCTTCGAAAGAGCAATCGAGTTCTTCGGCGATGACCACTCGGATGAACGGTTATTCATTGCATTTGCCCGGTTTGAAGAAGGTCAGAAGGAACACGATCGAGTTCGGGTGATCTACAAGTATGCGTTGGATCATTTGCCGAAAGAACGGACGGCGGATCTGTACAAGGCCTACACGATTCATGAAAAAAAGTACGGAGATAGATCCGGAATCGAAGATGTGATCGTTTCGAAAAGGAAGTTCCAGTACGAACAGGAAGTGGCAGAGAATCCGACCAACTACGATGCCTGGTTCGATTACCTACGGCTGGTGGAGAACGAAGCGAACCAGGAGCTGATTCGAGAAACGTACGAACGAGCAATTGCGAACGTTCCTCCTGCAAAGGACAAAAACCTCTGGCGAAGGTACATCTACCTGTGGATCAATTACGCTCTGTACGAAGAACTGGAAACGGAAGATCTGAAACGGACTCGCCAAATCTACAAAACATGCCTAGAATTGATTCCGCACAAAGTGTTCACATTTAGCAAAATGTGGCTTCTCTACGCCCAGTTTGAGATACGCTGTAAAAACCTGCAAGTTGCTCGAAAAGCGCTCGGAATGGCCATCGGGATGTGTCCTCGCGACAAACTGTTTCGTGGGTACATCGATTTGGAAATTCAGTTGAGAGAATTCGATCGCTGTCGAATTTTGTACGAAAAATTCCTTGAATTTGGACCGGAAAATTGCATAACCTGGATGAAGTTTGCCGAGCTAGAGTCCCTGCTTGGCGACATGGGTCGCGCTAGAGCGATTTACGAGTTGGCTATTCAGCAGGCTAGATTAGACATGCCGGAGCTGCTTTGGAAGAGCTACATTGACTTTGAGGTACAGCAAGGGGAATTTGAGTTCGCCAGACAACTTTACGAGCGACTTCTGGAGAGGACCACCCACGTCAAGGTTTGGATTTCGTTTGCAAAGTTCGAAATGGCAGCGGAGAATGAAGACAACATTAACGTACAGCTTTCGCGGCGGGTTTACGAGAGGGCCAACGACAGTTTGAAGAACGCAGCTGAGAAGGAATCCCGAGTGTTAATTCTGGAAGCTTGGCGAGACTTTGAGAAGGATCATGGTGACCAGGAGAATCTGCTGAAGGTGATGGCAAAGATGCCCCGGAAGGTCAAGAAGCGTCAGAAGATCATCTCCGAGAGTGGCGTGGAAGAAGGCTGGGAAGAGGTGTTTGATTTCATCTTCCCAGAGGATGAGATGGCTAGGCCGAATCTGAAATTGCTTGCCGCGGCCAAGAACTGGAAAAAGCAAAAAGAGGTCGTCGTTGCACCGGCCGAGACTACGATCGAATCTAGTGAAGCTGCGCACGCTGAAGAGGAAGAGCAAACAGAAGATTAATTTTAATATGTCTACCTATAATAAAACTACTTGTTTAAGGTATTTCATTCGACTTCTTTTTTTTTTTTCATTCAAATAATATGTTTGCACGATTCTACTGTCCACTGTCCTACTATCAGTCCACCTCGTCCGGTCGAACGGGATGCGTCAGCGGGATAACTGACTTTCGATGGACGTCCCTCGAGCAAGCCTTCCTCATATCGTACGCATCCTCATCCGGATCGCCCACGTAGTATTCCAGCACCGTCCGATAGACAATGTATCCCAGCTTGGTGTACATATCGATGGCCACCTTGTTGCTAACCCTCACGAATAGGTCCACAAAGTAGCACCGTTTCTTCTCCGACACGTCCTCCAGGAAGTTCATCAGCGTAGCGGCCAGTCCCAAACGGCGGTAATCCGGCGAAACGGTTAGAGCTGTAACGTGACCGTGCCAGTTTTCCCCGTGACCAGCAGCCTTGCCCATGATGTAACCCATAATCTCACCACTTGGCGATTCGGCCACCTGGAAGTACTCTGGCCAGTGGGCCAGGTACTGCATATAGAACGACAGGCAGTAGGTTTCGGTCAAGGGGTCGAGATTCCTAAAAACGAACATCGGTAGAAGTTAATACTCTATGGGTTTCACACAGTTTGTTTTTTTTTCACTTACACTTTATTGAATTTGAACATATCGTTACAGGTGAAGGGCCTTAAGGTAGTCATATTGGCAATTTAATTTGTGTTTTAGCTAAATATGCCGAAATTTTCACAAAAAAAATGTGAACTTTCGTGGCGAGTGCCTGCAGTGGCCGGGATCAAAACAACGTCGGTATCTGTCAAATGTATAGGGGTGTTCAATGTTGAGAGATGTGACGCGGTATTCATGAAAAACGACAAACGTCATTCAATGGTGTGCACTGAAGGGCGGGGATAATCACCGAAAAACCACCCGCACAGCAAAAAATACATAATGTCACTTCACGGTAGAATCTTTGATTATAATGCCCTTCCCGTGCAGTAACCGATTTGTAGATGTACATAGCAAAAATAGTTGTTGAATATTACATCCGAGATTATATCGAAATTGCATCATATCCCGCATAAACGCGAACCATAATATGACCTTACCTAAAATGGTTAAAAATTGTTTATAATCCCTGCTAAACTTTAACTGAAATGGTTATGGAACTTTACATGAACGTTTAATGATAAAGTTTCAACCTTATGTATTATGGTTTTTTGGAACTGGACCTTACAAATAATGGGTTGTTAAGAACCATTACCATTCCAAATACTTGTTTTCTCCATACATTTTCAGAAAGAGAACTATATAAGAACGTTTTTACTTATGATTTGAGAACATTAATGGTAATGGTTATGGTAGTCAGTAAGGTCCATTAATGGTTTTGTATTATCGCTCAACTTTACGTGGAATATATCGTGAATTGGTAATCAGTAAATTACAGGCAACCAATTCGTGATATATTCCACATAAAGTTGATCGATGTTACAAAACCATTCGTGGACCTTACTGACTACCATAACCATTACCATTAAAGTTCTCAAACCATAAGTTAAATGGTTCTAATATAGTTCTCTTTCCGAAAATGTATGGAGAAAACAAGTATTTGGAATGGTAATGGTTCTTAACAACCCATTATTTGTAAGGTCCAGTTCCAAAAAACCATAATACATAAGGTTGAAACTTTATCATTAAACGTTCATGTAAAGTTCCATAACCATTTCAGTTAAAGTTTAGCAGGGATTATAAACAATTTTTAACCATTTTAGGTAAGGTCAATTTATGGTTCGCGTTTATGCGGGATTCTAGGGGCAGATAACTTGTGTTGCATTTATTATAACAAAAAATAAATAAATGCATTTTAGTCGAGTTTTTAGCCCTACAAATATTAAGATTTTGTTCTGTTTTGTTGTTCGCCTCGTATCGCTCAAATCCACACTCCTGACACGAGAAAATTATTCCAGCTGGCAGTATCGGACGCGAGAGATTCTGTCAAAATCTACTGGAACCTCCGTTGACAGCATTGTAAATCACCAGTAGAATCGTGCAGATCCTCCTCCACCGAGAAGGTGAGAAAACTCAGTCGAAAATCACAGGAACCTCCGTTGGCAGCACCAAAATTGCCCGGAACCTTCTCCGCCATGAACATGTGGAAACTGCCCGGTACCTCCGCCGGTAACATATAAAATCTCCACCGAAATCGTGCGGTATCCTTTCCACCGTGAACGCGCAAGAACTTCGTCGAAGCTCCTCTACTGAAAACACGAGGAAATGCCGTAGAAATTTCCTGGAACTTCCCGTTGGCAGCACCAAAATCGTGTGGAAGCTTCTTCACTGTAAACGCGAGAAAACTTTGTCGAAACTCCCTGGATCCTCCGCTGGTAGAATCGTAGACCTCCACCGAAGTCGTGCTAACCTCCTTCTCTGAGAACGCGAGAAAACTCAATGGATCACATCATTCGAGCAGTTTAAAATGACGTTTCCTACCACTCGAACTTTAACGTGAATTGGAATTGATTGTTTCATTTCCGTAAAATCGCTGGTAGAAGGTCGTCCCAAACTGCTCGACAATATGATTAATTGAAATTCCCTGAAACCTCCACTGGGTAGCATCAGTAATCGCCATAGAAACCATGTGGACCTCGTTCGCCAAGAGCACAAGAAAACGACATCGAAATTTCCTGGAACCAAGAAAAATCCGTTAAAACTCTCTGAGAACCTCCGTTGGCAGCATCTGAATTCTCTGCTTTACCGAAATCGTGTGGAACGACGATTTTGACGCTCACATCCCATTGAATGGTTGATGCAAACGAGGGAAATTAAATGCAATTTTTTAAACTAAATGCATACTCAATGGGAATTCTAAAAGTGACACGCCTCAAGAGCGTACTAGTGTAGTGATCGGACTGACTACACGAGTTCGCGATGCTGCTTTCTCGGCTGCTCTGCTTGACTGTTGTTACTGCTTGTCCATCGCCTTCAACATTTATTCAGTGTCAACCATCCATCAGGTCACGGTAATTCTTATTTACGGTAATTTTTATTTACTTATTATTTATATCTTATTTAATTCTTATTTATCAGGTCACGGTAATTCTTATTTACGGTTATTCTTATTTATACCCGTATTATTGCTACGATTTTTGAAGGTGTCGAATAAGCAGCAGCAGTATCAATCTCAGCACAGAAGTCAAGCAAAGCAAGCGAAAAAGCTAGAAATCTCATTCCATATCAGGCATAACATTTGATAACGGCACAAAAGCATTTGTAAACAAACTTTCTAAGGCCCTTTACACGCTAACCAAAGTACATCCACGCAAACAAACAACATCATCGGATAGGGGCAACTATCACCTTTCCGAAAGTGGTATTGGTTTGCGTGGGCGTACCTTGGTTCGCGTGTAAAGGGCTTTAGAAAGTTTGTTTACAAATGCTTTTGTGCCGTTATCAAATGTTATGCCTGATATGTAGTGAAATGAAAATGTGAAAATGTACACAGTATTTCCCAATTTGGGTTATTTAATTTCGAAAAATATATCGGTTACTATTCACCTTTCCACGCTCGTCATCTAGCACATGGAATGGAGTAATATAAATTTTTTTTTTTTCATTTCGTTTATTTGGCAGGCTCAAATGTTATAAAAATAACTTAGCGGAGCCGAGTAACATAGAATACCAATTATGGTACTCAAAATACAAAAAAAAAATATGTACAAATATATTTTATCATATGATTTTTCTGGGTGGCGATCGAAGCGGCGACAAAGCGATCTTCTCCCGTGCACGCAACTTCTTTCTTTCCCGAATTTGTTCCTCATTTTCATTGAACCCGAATCGTGATCGCTGCTGCTGTTTCTGGACATCGTTTCCCGTTGCATGCTCTCCGCTACTCTCGTCGGTCGTCGGGGTAGTCACGTCCATTTCGTTATCTGCATTCAACATCTCCAACCCCGTATCCGTTTCCTGATCGCTAATGACAAACGACGCACCTTCCACCACTACTCCAGCATACGTACTGCTGCTGTTTTGTTTTCTTTCGCTTTGCTTTCCTTTTTCCTTCAGTTGCTTCTCCGGTTCCTTCCGAGCCTTCCGCTTGGGACAGGAAAGCTTCCGGTGTCCGTCCGCCTTGCACAGAAAACATTTATCTTTGTTGCCATCATAAAAAATATTTCCTTTGCGATTGAAGAAATGTAATGACGTGGGGATTCCCTTCTTCACATCCATATATACACCGCGTATTCCTGTATATACCTCAAAACACAGATCAGTTGGAAATTTCTCCCGGATGATGCGTTTAATTTTCCCATATTTCCCCAGCACTTTATCCAGCTCGTTGTCGGGTACCTTTGGTGGCAAGTCATACACACGCACATATTGAATGAATTCACCAGCATGCGACATGCGTACCTTTGCCGTCGTTCCATTCGCATAATGGAAGATTAAATCCTCCGAATTGAATGTCAGAGCATGGAGCATCGCTTCCTCTGATTTGAACTTCATGAAGACTCCCCTTTCCTCACCAATGCGATAAACAGCTTCCATTTCAGCCGGATCCGCGTCGAGTGCTTTGGCGAAATTTACTATCTCTCCGATGTTTGGTTTGGCATCACAATGGCTGAAGCTAAACTTGATTGTGTTTTTTACTTCACACATCTTGCACCGTAGCAACAAAAGGCACCGAACTGCTAGCAACGAACAAAGAGCAACTATATAATAGCGAGTCTCGAAAACAGGCTATCGTGTGGTTCACAACGAAATAAAAAATCGACTGCTGCTGTAGACAGCTGTGGGACAACTGAGTAATATAAAATGTAACGACTGAAATGGAACGGAGAATCAAAACAAAACAGCGTGGAAAGCTGGATTCATCAGCTGAAAGGGCTTCGTTTTCTGAGCACAACAATATTTATGTCTTTCGCATTTACTTCCCTAATAAAAATTGTATGGTTAATTTGCTTAACGACATGTTCTGGGTATCATCCAAACCATTTGTGGAATAGTTCAATGATTTGGGTTATCGTTCGTTTATGGTTATTTTTTATTACTTTTAAAACATTGCACATTTTTGTCAACACCACGAAATTCACGGTTCACAGCAAAGAAAATCATGGTACTTGAAAAGTTTACATCGACTGATGTAATATTGTAACTGCTTTTTGCTATTACATCTTCTTGAATTACGTTGATCGACATAACAATTTATTTTGCTTTGCACAATATTTTTCAACAAAACGACCACCCTACTGCCGAAGCATGTGAATCACCCCCGTGCAGCAAGCTGTTTGACAGCTGTCAAAAATCCGCACACATTTCGAGCAGTACGCGCGATTCTCCGCTGCTGGAAAAATGGCTTCCTCAGCCGTCGAGCTGTTTCGGTTTCACCGTCGGTTTTCGAGCAAAGTATAGCAGTGTTTTGTGTGTGCGCTAGACTATAAAGCCAACTATCGTGTGGTGGAGCAGCTTTTGACTCAATTTTCTAGAAATCATTCGGCCACTTTGGTGTCTCCGTGTCCGGAAAACATTTGGAAAAGTTAGTTCCGACGTCGTGATCAAGTTGGTGGTCGGTTAACGCGTACGTTTGGTGTGTTTTTTGAAGGTGAAAATATGGTGTCTGGCAAAGAGTAGGGAGATTTCCATTTTCCTCCTGGTTGGATTTCACACAGCAAGCAACGAGTTTGTGCTACGCTACAGAGACTATGCGGGAGAGTGAAAGAGAGAGAAACACTTGTCGAGCGCTGAGCTGATGTGTATCGGAAAGAGAAGAAAACACTCGAGCTCTGCCACAGAATCGAAGAAAAAGAACAAACAAGAAGAAGAAGCAAAGTGCCGCTGCTGGCTTCTCCACTGGCTGATGATCTGATCGTCGTCAAGAAGAGTGCTGTGTTTTTCGGTTGGGAAAAAATTTCCCCGCGGTTCGGATTAGAAGCGGAAAATGCAACTGGAAGATGTGTGAAAGGGTATGTCGAAAGTGCAATAAAAAGGTGATAAAACGGAATCATTCGAGTACAACGCAAAGTTCGATGGTGGAAGAAGAGGTTAGGTGTTTCTTTTTTACTCTCCCGTTGAGTGTGTGATGGTTGCATAAAATGGAAGCAAAGCCGTACGTGAGACGGTATTTAGTGGAATGAAGTTGAAACGTGTTTTTTGTTCCGTCGACCATTGAGTGATCCGCGTTTGACCGATGCTCCGGATTGTGTTCTAGTGTCCGTTCGTCCACCCGCGAATTGTTTTGATTATCAACGACGGCAGCAACAGAGCATTTTGGCATTTTCTCATCACCTTCCTGCTGCTGCAGCAGCAGCAGCAGCAGCGGACAGCAGCAAGCAGGCAGGCTGGCAGAAGAAAGCAAAGCGCACACAAAGTGCAGGAAAAAAGAACAAAGTGAACGAAACGAAACGGGCCCGAAAGAGAGCTAGTGAATGTGAGAGAAACGAAGAAGTGTGCCGACGAGCAAGAAAATTTCATTGCCCCCATTCGAGCAGAACTACACAAGTGCTCGAATTCGTCCATTTAGCGAAACGTTGGACCAAGAAAGCTCGAGTCGCAGTCAGTCGCAGCGAGCGAGCAAGCAAGCATATACATAAACAGCAGGCAGCCAGCAAACGAACACGAAAACCCCATCGCTCGCGGGCTCGAATCGAAACGGCACCAGCAGACAGAAAGGGACGCCTTTTAGATGTGTGCGTGTGATGCGATGAAAAAAGCGGGCCAATCCGAGATTGCTGGTGTGCGGGACTGTGTGAACGGGGGTGTGTGTGTGTGTGTGCGGAGGTTTGAACTCGACTTTGTGCTGACGGAAGACGACTACTAATGTAAACAATGAAACCGTTCGTCGCACCAACATTTGCGTAATCTTCACTTTGATGACGGGAAGAACGCACTTTGGGATCGGCAAATTTTGTTTTTTTTTTTTAAATAAAATTGACTAGAAATTTGTATAGCACTTTTGTTATTCAAAACTTATTTGAATGCACAGGGTGTCGGTTATATAGGGGCAAATGTGCCATCCTAAGGATTTGGGGTTTTATGTATTCCATAATAAGGATTCGGCGTTCTATGGCATTGTCTTGATGTATCATCAATATAATTAAAATTAAATCATATTAAAAGCTGTTTATGAATTTTTCAAAAACTAATGCTTAATCTACCTATTGCAAATGATACGTGGCAAGAGTGCCTCCCCTTATGGGGCAAAATGGAGTGAAACAGATTAAATCAACAATAACTTGCTTTTCTTAAGCATGTTAGTAATCGCAGTTCTAGGCGGGTAATATAAAGGTAACACAGTAGGAAGAAGTGTTAGTTTGTTTACTAAAATGAACTATACCCATTTTGTTATGGCAAGTTTTGCTATAAGAAATGCTCCTCGTGTTTATTAGCGAAATTCACATCAAAGGTTGATTAATTGCGTAGGAAATCAGTTTGGCACGGCATTTGTAAAAGATAAGAGCAAAAAACATTTGCATGTTTTTTAAAGCTTGACCAGAAACTTATGATCGGATCTAGATTATCGGTATTTCTTATTATGTATTCCATTTCTCGATTATCGAATCATTTTTTCCGTTTTTCTTCTTTTATGGTATGTGTTTTTATCGGTTATTCGTAAAAACTTATTTAAAAAGGTTTAAACGGTGTCATTGATTTCAAAATACCGATAATCGAGTACGACCTGCACTTCGAAAAAAATCAAGCTTGGAAATATTGAAAAGATTCGAATCTCATAAAAATTGACAAAAACTCGGGTTCGGAGTAGTTCTCTAAAATTGACATTTGTAAAAATTAGCAATATCCAAATTAAGAAGACTTCGATATATCGAACATGATCGCTTCGATAAAAAAATAACCATTCGAGAGATTCTAGATTGACGAAAAAATTTAGGATCCTTAACATAAGATGTAAGATTACTTTTGATTTGAAAAAAAAACTTAAGATTAAGGTTAAAAATAAATCGAAACTCAATCTTCGAAGTTACGCAAATGCGTATATAGATAAATAAGTACGCTTCCAAAACTGTTTGGTTGTAGGACTGTATACGGAACGAAAATGACACGTAGAAACCATTGATTTTCGCCTAAAATTGTGTTACTGGAAAATCATATTAAAACGTATATTTTATCCAGGTGGCTACTGTTCTCCGAAATATGTGTCTTAAATGATGATCCTATGAAAATCATTGACACATAATTTTCATTGGATTTTTCAAAACGATGCCTTCATTGGACATCCAATGGAATTTAGAGGATTTCACCAATGTCGATTACGTGAAGTTTTGCCTCACAACAATTTTTCAAAACTCATCAAGTAACTGAATTTGGAAAATGTTTACCGTTCTTGAATTTCAATTGCTTTCTAATTGTATTCAAACCCCTGTTATTAATTTCAGTCTTGCTTCCCACAAATTTAAAATAAGAACCACACAACGCCAAGCAGATTACGGTCGGCCTGAGCCTGTAATTTAAAAATTTAAATGTTCCCTAATAATTGAAACCTTAGTGCCTATTGTTGCGTTGGTGTTTTAACATAAATTAATCTAAAAGACATCAATGATTTCCACAAGAGGAAACAAAATTAGCAAGCTACTAACAATAAGAACCAGACCCATATTAACGGAGCATGAGTTGTTTGATTTAATGTATGGCGTTTCCTTAACCTCAATATATTTGTGCACCAGCTCTTAAAACATCAACAATTATCAAAATATTGCTTGCAATGGATAAATATCGAGTAAACTAGAAGAGATAAAGTGTGTTTTTCAACAAATTCCAAATCTGGTTTTGAAAGTTGGTGCACAGATAAAAAGTGAGATTACGACATGCCACTGATAAAACCATAATTTACTTGAAAAGATTTGTAACAAAACTGTAGCTTGACCTTTTTAAATTTTAAGTCAGGACGGTTTATATTTTGAGTTTCACTCTTACGAGCTCACTAACCACCGTTTCTGGAAGTTTCCTAAAAATCGACTGGAAAACCCGAAAATATCAGACCATTTTTTTGCCCTGATCCAGAAAAAAAGATAAAGTTGTTGCATATCCATCGGTTGTGTGATATTACATTGTGGGCTGTACTCTAAACTTTCGAATAAATGTACATACATTCCAACGAAACTGATAAATACCTACATACCTACATTAAACTTTAACTGAGAAGTTGTGTAGAAATTGTTGTCATATTCTATTGAATTAAAAAAAATCTTTGGGTCTGGGGTAGTTCTCTTATGGTTTGAACAATACGATTTCAAAATGGCAAAGAAATCGATGAGATTTTGGAGAAATCCGATGTTAATGACAGAAGTACTTCTGTAAAAATCGCGTGAGATTTTTCGGTAAATATGACATTTGACAGTGCTGTTTCCAGGTTAACAACACACAGATTTGTTTTTAAGTTTAATATGGATCGGCCAAAAATAAACAAATTGGTGCGAATTTGACTGAGCAAAATTTTATATTTTCGCTCCACAGTGCTCAAACAGTTCAAAATCGAGTTTTGGTTTAAATTGGTTAAAATTTGACTGTGTACAAACCAGTGGCGTCGCCTTAACCTCAATCTATCTGTGCACCAACTCTCAAAACATAAACAATTATCAAAATATTGCTTGCAATGGATTGATATCGAGTTAATTAGAAGATGTGTATTTTTCAACCGATTCGAGTATGAATATGGCATTAAATCTGTTTTTGAAAGTTGGTGCACAGGTAAAAAGTGAGATTACGCGACGCCACTGGTACAAACCATTAGAAACTTATATGTAAATTACTATGGGAAACGGTAATTTGTTGTTCATATCATTCTAACATTTCGCCATATTTATTTACAAAAAAAAATGACAGATCTGCTTGTATGAAATATTCTCAGCTACAACTTTGGTGAAGACCACTTTTACATAATATTTAAGGATCAAAAGCTATTAATGGTTCAAGACGCTGATATCTTATGATCATGCTTAATCAACTGATCAGCAGGCAACATCGCTGTTTCTGGCGCGGGAAGTAGAGCACAAAAATCATGGCTACTATGTCACACTGTACAATACACGGTTGTCCACCCTGCAGCTGCTGGAGAAAATCAGAAGATTAGCAATCTTTTAAATAATTAATAACGGTCTTCAGCAAAGTTGTAGCTATTGACCTTCCTCTCAGATCAATATAGAAAAAGGCTATAAGTCAATGAACAAAAACATTGATTTTCCCATATTAATTTTCATACAAACGTCAAATGGTTTATGCCAAGCAAGTTCCTTTCCAAATGAGATCAAATTTTGGAAGGCCCGATTTGAAACCCTTTGAGCACTGTGGAGCACAAAATTTTACATCAGTCTAGTGCGCATGTAGTTTAGTCTATTTTGGCATGGTCTATTTCATTTTATTAAAACTTGTTGTTCTACCTCAGACAAACATGACACTCGTATTTTGTTCATCGAATACGCATTTCGATGGATAACTTATTTTCATCAAATTTCCACATGCCATTTTTCAATAATTAGTGCTCTTGTAACCAAATGTAAAAGTGTCACAAACGCTTTTTAATATCTTCTAATTGGGTGGGACTAACGGTTCCGGATATTTAGTGAACGTCTAATTTACGCCGATTATTAATATTCCTACTACTTGCTGAATTTTGCCGCTTCTCACGTGAGTGTTTTGCCTACTCTGCACCAGGGATGGAAAATCATTTACATTCATTTGCCTCTAACTTTTTTCATCAACAAAATATCGTGAAATGATGTATAAAGCTTTTGTAGCTTTTGATATGAGCTACAACTTTTGCTAATAACTAAAATCTGTATCTCTTATGCATGACGAAATAGAGCTGGCAGAGCATGTTATTGTTTTTCAGTGAATGCAATTTACATTCACTGATAAACAATGGTGGGTTCTTATCGCTCTGACTTATCATGCATTAGAGATACAGATTTGAGTTGTTTACAAAAGATGTAGTTAATATCAAAACCTACAAAACTTTTAAACACTATTTTATGGAATTCTGTTGATGAAAAAAGTTAGAGGCAAATGAATGTAAATGAATGCACGAAATGAATGTAAATGATTTTCCATTCCTGCTGTGCACTTAGTGCTCTTTGAGGTACTTGAACATTTATTGATTGAGTGCATTCTTTGCCAACCAATGCATGAATTTGTATAAATTACAACAATACTCGATGTGCAGGGCAGTCGAGAACATTTCCAACCCGAAAGATTTCCTCGACCAGAACAGGAATCGAACCCGCCACCTCCGTGCCTTTACTGACTAGGCTATCGGGAATCCACATTCCTCCTTCCCTTATTTTAGCATTCTGTCGCTTATGCTACAAATATTCCGAAGCCACTAGGTCTGATTCGGATTAATGTTAAGGGTTCTTATTTAACTTTGAGAATGCAGATTTTCAATTGGGTCATATTTTGACTACATGCTGTCCCACTGTGCACGACAAGTGAACCGCAGCAAGTTCGGTTCGAATGGACTGAAGATTGCTCGAATGTGTTTAGCCTTTCTTCACACACGAAACACTCACACACTTAAGCTAGTGTTCAATCTAGTGTTGCTACCAGCTGCTCGCTTCTATAACACCCCAGAAGAATACGCGTGTATCCGTGAGGCCTTACAATATGCCATATTAGCCGAGTCGAGTTTCTGGTCCCAGACTTCGACTTGGGCTCTTCAACTCTGACTGATGATGGTTTTGCGGTGACGACGATTCGAGCTCCACGACGATTGCTGCTAATAGCTGCGACTGACTACGACGATTTATGCCCTCGAACACGTCCCCCTCCCTCCCCATCGTCGTCGCCGTCAGCAGGGAGGAGGGTTACAGTGACCACTATACCTAATTTTTATGTGATATGAGTTGTGTATGTGTTTATATCTCTCACCTCGAATGGTGATGATGTTCGTACAATGGCACGGAATCGGAATATGTGAAGCAAATCAATATTATTACAACCTCACGACCATATTTTTTCGTTTTCCGTTTTTGCAGTGTATTTTAGTTAAGTGTAAAAAAGATTGTGTGGAAAAGTAAGCAAATTACTGTCTTTAAGAGAAAACAAAAGAAGAAACCAAAATAAAAAGAGAACAAGTGCAAAAGATTGACAGCCAAACCGTGTGTGTGTGCAGTAAACATAACATAGGTGAAGAGAAGACTATAAATCAAAGCCAAGCAAGAGGAAAAATTGTGTGTAAATAGAGGTACAGGACGCGAGATGCGACTACAACAGGTGCCGAAGAAGAAGGATGGTCGATTCTGGTCCGCTGGTTGTCGCTGAGGATGTCCATCGTCATCGTCAACGGGAAATCAACGGCAAACGCAGCAGCGACCAGAAGCACGACCTGCAGCAGCAGGAACAAATTGAAGTGTTAAAGATGAATAACGCAGACAACTTGGAGGATGCTGGAACATCGTCGTCATCGCCGGAAATTGTAAATGAATTGGTTGAATTGGGAGACGAGAAGAACGACCAGGAAGAGATCATTCTTCTTTCTGAAGAAGACGAAGAAGAAGAAGAAGAAGATGATGATGGTGAGCTGCAGAAAAATGGTAGTGGACAAAGCAACGGCCCCAATATGATAATAATGGAGGGATCATCCGACACCGAGCAGGAAACGATTCTAACCAACTGCCAGAAGGAAAATCAAGTGGAAGAAAAGCGAAAAACACAAACAGTCGAAGACACGGTTGATGACGATCTTGAGGTGATAGAGATCCCGTCGACTCCGCCGTCGGAAGTGATTGCAGGGAACGAGGCTAGCAACAAAATTGTAAATAATAACGATAGCATTGCAGTGAAGCACAAACACACAGGAGTTTTGGATGGTAAAACTGCCAACAATAACGTCGTTTTACAGAACTGTGTAGGTCGGACAACTCAAGAATCTCCCAAGGAAGGTAATCATACCTCTTCCAAGCAGACCGAGATGGGACTTTCGGAAGAAAATCGTAAGGTTGAACCATTGAAAATTAATCTCCATCGAGAGCCTATCAGAACGATCATAAAACTGCCACCGGGCTCGGGATCCGGATCGGATCATCAACCCAGCTCGCCAAAGATTACGATCAAACCGTTAAAACCCCCTCCCGGTATGGATGGGGCTCAGGTCAATAGCATTCCCAAGCTTACGATCAAACCGGTAGTGAATCCGGAGGAATCCAGTAGCAATACTTTGGTCAGCAGTGAACAAATGCAAATCATTCCTAAATTGCACATCAAGAATTCCTCTCTGGACAGTTCCGGTGCCGAAGGAGCCGAACCACACATTGTGCCTAAACTGACGATACGTGGCGTCAATCACAGTAGCCCGACGGTGGCAGGGAGCTCCGGAACCACCAGCAATGATACATCCAGTTCCGCAGGTCATAATTCCTCAAACTCGTCAACTTCTAGCTCGCCTCCATTGGTTCCTAAGCTCACGATAAAGAAGGATAACCTCCATCATCACAGTAGCCATCATCACCATCACCATCATCATTCGCACCATAATAACCGGTTGATGGTGAAGGAGGATGATCCTCCTGCTATTCCTAAGCTTCACATTAAAGCAATACCGGAACCATCCGTCTCACTCAGTTTAGGTTCAACCGGAACGTCTTCAGGCCCGGTGCTAACTAGTTCCGAAGGTGTTAAGCTTACAATTAAACCCATTCCGGAACCCCCACTACCGAAACTAACCATCAAGACGAGCATCCTGGACTCCAATGATGTCTCGGTTGTTTCCTCGACGAGTAGCAGTTTCTCACCGAAGCTATCGACTCCTCCGCCAGCTTCTCCGAGTGATCAACACTCCAACATAACGTCGACAATTCCAAAACTCACCATCAAGCCCATCCCCAAACCGCCTCCGGCCATTCCACGGGATCCATCGGAAGTTCCGATCCCCAAACTTACGATCAAACCAATGCCTCCGAAGCCGCTTGCTTCCGAGGATAGTTGCTCAAGTGAAACCAGTATTAACTCGTTAGAATCCTCACCCATCTCATCGTCCTCGTCGGCTTCCAGCTCGGCCATAAGCTCCCCTTCGATCGTTCCCAAGTTGACTATCAAGGTCCCTAAGGAAAACGATAGTGTCGTAACTTCCTTACCGCAGATCACCTCCGGTTCTATCACCACCATCACTACCAGCTCGTCCAGCCTGCCACTCTCTACGATCCCGATCGTGACGAAGCTCAACATCAAACCGATGCCACCGCAACCAAAAGAACCGGTAAAAGAGTATTCGCTAGAACCGGAGGAAGAAACTCAAGATGAACCGGAAGACGAAATCGAAGAACCCATCATGATCAACCTCGATCTGGAGGAGCAGGAACCGATAGTAATCCCAAAGTTCATTATCAAAACCATAACGAATCCCAAGAGCCAAGAAACGGAAATCATCTCAACGCCAAAAGTTACGTTGAAACCGATTCCGAAACCCGATCCACAGCCTGCAAAACCATCCCCACCACACGAACCGTCCACTGATAGTGAAAATCCACCACTAGAGGTAATGACTAGCAGCTCTAAAACGCCAGACTCAGGCTGCGACTCGCCACGAATCATCCTGAAGATCAACAAGGGTAGTTCTTGTACAACGACTACTACCGCCACTACTAGCGCAGCACAAAGCACCCCCGCTACTCCTCCTGTTGAGAAGAAAGAGGAACCTATTGCCAGCAAAGCAGAAGAAACCACAAATGACTTGAAACGATCGGTTCCTGAATCGTCGACGAACGAGAGTCCCGACGTTCCGGAAGTCAAAAAAATCAAACTGAACCACCAAAGCGTCATTGTTCCGAACCAAGAGGTGCAGAGACCGATAGTCGACAATGACGTTATTGTGATAGACGATGATAGTAAATCCGACACGGGAGAAGAACCTACAGAGCCTCAAGTTGCCGAGCGGATGGTGGAACAAGTTCGGAAACCTCCACCATTGATTGAGATTCCAAAAAAAAACGTAATCACCACTCCGCAAATGTTTGATGTTCGGGACGCCACACGACCGGAAGATGGCAACAAACTAAAGGAAATGCTAATCAAAGCAAAACGCCAGCGGGTGATCACGCCATCGCCTCAGATGGAACCTCGTCCCAGGCGAACAGCTGCCCTCCAAGCGATCCCGGCTTCAGTGCTACTACGGAGACATCCTACATCTTCTGCGCCACCAATTCCCATACCGGTTGTAGAACCGGTCCCCGTTACTATACCCACATCCAACAACATCACCAGTGTCCTGCTGATCGAAAATGACGGAGGATCCAGCTCGGATTGTATGATCATCGACGATCCACTGACACTAGCCGAAAAGAATGGAACTTCTAGTAACAGTAACAGTAGCAGTTTCAACAGCGTCACACCTGTTCCGGTTATTCCGGTATCTACTACACCTACACCCACTGTTCCTGTCACAATAGGTTCCGGTTCTCTCATTCTATCGAAGGTGCGAATGAGTACCCGAAGTGGAGCAGGCGGAACTGTTCCCACAACAAAGGATACTACAATGACGCACAAAGCTCCGGATAAAGATTCCGGTCTGGACGAGGGAAAAGTAGACTCGGAAGATGTTCCACCGCCTGTAAAGCGACCCCGGGGACGTCCGAAGAAGAATGTCTTTATTCCACCTAAAGAAACTGATGAAATTGTAGTCGACGAAGTGACACAGGAAACCGACAGCAGTAAACTGACGACCCTGACGATAGAGGCCAACGGCAGTACGAGTTCTTCGGAGCTCCCACCCATGAATCCCATGTCGTTATTTTCCAAAGATAATCCCTGCCGGGTGTCGCCAAGAGTACTACTGAAACCGTTGACACCGTCCCGGTTGGAGCCGAAGCCGGCCTCACCGCTGGTGGTCACAACCACAAATGCTTCAGTTGACTCCGTCGATGGAGAAGAGTCGACCTGCTCGTCGTCGAAAGATCCACTCAGCGGAATGGAAGTAAAGCTCAAAGAGAGCGTTATCCCCGCGAAGGAGGTGTCACCGATTACACCGAGGTGAGTCATTTGCATGTATTTTTATTTATTGTTTATATTTCAATATGCTACCTACACAGACCAACAAATTTAACATTTCAGTGCTAACATTTGAAAACGGCGCAAAAGCCATTTGTAAACAAATGGTTTGTGGGCCCTTTACTCGCTACCCGAAGAACGCCCACGCAAACCAACAGCATCGTCAGGAAGGGGAAAATTTCCCCTACCCGATGTTGCTGTTGTGTCGCGTGGGTGTACTTCAAGTAGTGAGTAAAGGGCCCACAAACCATTTGTTTACAAATGGCTTTTGTGCCGTTTTCAAATGTTAGCACTGATTTTATTTATTCGATTATTTAAAACAGAATTTCTTAGGATTGATTGTTGATGAGGGGCATTCGAATGGAAAATGAAGTGTTTATATAAATTAATTTGAAATTACACACTGAAATAAAGCTGTGAAAATGACAATAACAAACTTTCCACTGCTTCAATTCAACGTACGTGAAATCTTTTAACGTCGATCAAAAATCCATTAAAGTTCCGCTAAGTGTTTTTTGACGTTTGACAAGCCAGCCCAGTTAACGAACAAGTACTGTAATTATAAAAAAAAAATCCTTTTTTCTTTATAGAGGTCGCACTGGAATTACCTATGGCCTGGAGCGGCTTAGGCTTCTCCGAGCCCCTATTCCAAGCATGGGGTAAACAATAAGTTTCAAAGCTCATTTTTTGCAGCATGATACATCACATCTCAGAACATCTTTTGGATAGGTCCTAGATAAATGTTCTTGAGAAAAAACCCGCGCTTGGAATAAACTAAGTCGTTCCCTAAAAGTTGCTAAACTTTTCAAAAAAAATTAGAACGCATTTTTAACCCTCAAAAACTTCCACAACCTCACAGAACTTCAACAACCTTGCCAGGAGTTTAACCCTCTGCTTCCCATGGTAGCACAGATGATGATCCACAACTTTTAGATCCGTCTCATATATTTCAATCTACCATGAAATAGACAGTACTTATTTAAGCTTCTCCGTATGTTTATTATTCTCGTCTATATGTATACTTGAAAACTGAGCAACTATTAAAAAACTATTGATTTGAAACAAAAACTTCGATAATTAGAGACTGTATGGAACAGCTTTCGTTTAATCATTTTTTTTTTCAAAAACACATTTTTGCATCTCAAAACAACCAACAACACCGTTTAAGGTTTATTATCTCATCCCGAGCTCACTGGACACTTTCAAAGCTCTTTGAATCCCTCCGAAGTCATCATAAAGTACACTGAAACTGGCAGGCTTAAGGGGCTGTCTATAAATTACGTAGACTGTTTTCCCCACTTCCCGAACAAAGTTCAACATCATAATGAAAGCAAATCAAAATCAAATTTGGAAATCAACAGCAAACTGAAATTATATTTTGATTTCATTTTACGCGTCTGGCAAATTTGATAGCAAATTTTGTTATCATTTATTAGTTTAATGACACTTCGTGCATATTAACGGCGTTTATTTTTAATTTTAACTTCTAGTAACCCTATTCAGAAAAGCGAGTTTCTGGTATCCTTATTTGCTGTTTTGTTTTTATTATGCGTTTCCTTTCGGATCGTTCCATTGCAGTGTACTCCATTTCGTGTGCTCAATGACGTTTGAGCAATTTTTAGTGCAGATTCAAACGTTGAACCCCGTTTAAGTGTTTAGATTAAAAAACGGTCAGATTTCCCGAGCAAAGTCTGAGATCAAATTGACTACTAAATTCAACAAGAAAAATTTACACCAAATTGAGTTTTCACACTACTCTTACTGATAACAGAATTAGTTTTCAATGTGGAAGATTTTTTGCTCTAAATTTTGATATTTGTTACGTTAAGACGGCTAAAACGACAGTACCATCAAATTTAGTTTTCAATTTGACCTCAGACTTTGCTCGCACCTTGCGTATTTGACCATATCAAGACCAACAATTGAAAAGGCCTCAACTCCATTTTGTAAACAAGCCTTGTAAGGCAATTTTCTAGCGAACCGAAGTCCGCAAAGGCAAACCAACATAATGAACATGTAGGGGAAATTCTCATTATATATGAACCGATAAACACTGAAAAAAGTTTTCATTTAGTTTCTATTAGGAACGCACATAATTTTTTTTTTCAATAACAAAAAAAAAATGATTGTTATCTGAATATCATGAGAAATCATATAGATTTCATTGGGCACATTTTCTTTTGTCATTCCATGGATTAGTGGTAAATTTTATCTCACGGAGCTTAACATCCCGTGACGTATGCCAAAGATGGTCCCATCGTTGTCGTATAGCACGTTTGACTTCCCTTATCGCGGCCATGGCTGGTATTTGGATATCAAGTGGAACGTTGTTTCTAGCTTCACCAGCAAGACGGTCTGCTATAATATTTCCTTTGATGCCTGCATGGCCGGGGATCCAGCAGAATTGGCCGTCTCTGGATTGGATTGCCGCCTCGATACTTTGGATAAATGAGTGTTTGGATCTACGCGTTTCCAGCGCAGATAAACAGATGGCAGAGTCCGTTGGAATGGTTATTTGTGTCTTGCGTGAAGTGTTGAGGGCGTAGGCTTCTGCTGAGAAGCCGCTGCAGCTTCTTGGCAGGGCGTCGGATTTGGTGACGCCTATTCCGAAAAGACCTGCGCCGACTGTATCGTCGCCTTTGGATCCGTCAGTGTATAGCAGGGTACGTCCTTGAAAAAGTCGCTCGGTTACCTCTTGTACTATAGGACGGACTTTTTCTGGGGGGTCCCCAGCCATAGTGAACTTTTTGACATCCCAGATGATCGTTGGTTTTGGGACATTCCATTCGCGGACTGTGTTCCTATGACGTTTGCAGATTTGGGGGAACATCTTCTACGGTAGCCCTAATGCTCGTCGGCAGCCTAAGAAAGACATAACCATCGATCGAATTCCAGTTCCACAAACAAAGCAACTTAAAGTTTTGGGAGTCTGGATTGGATTGGAACTTCAACTTCAAACTCACTGTACCCTGACTGCTAAAAACTGCACTACGAATCCGGACAATGGTTGGAGCAAAGTTACCTCGAGGAGCACGTCGTACACTGCTGCATGTAGGATCTATCTACGATCATCACGTCACGCCTCCTCTACGGAATGGGTCTAGTCAGCAGAGGAGGATACATGGTTAAAATACTATCCTAAACCTACAACCGGATGGTCAGACTCGCTGCCGGAGTTTTCGTTACCGTTCGACTTGCTGGTCCTACAGTTTTTAGCACGATTATCTTTTCGCCTTCTGGCGAAAACTAGCGATGCTTCCGAGCTTCCAGCAGAGCTTTTCACCGAAGAAACCAATTGGACACATAATGTTCATGTGATTTAGTGGTGGAATTTCCAATTCAAGAGACACATGTGAAAAGGGCATACACGCTTTTTGTAAACAAACATTTGTAGGCCCTTTTCTCGCCAACCGAGAGTCGCCCACGCAAACCAGCAATTTCATCGGAAAGGAGAAAGTTTCCCCTACCCGTTGATATTAAAGGTTTGCGTTGGTGTCATATGGGTGGCGAAAAAAGAGCATAAGAAGGTTTGTTTACAAAAAGCTTGTATGCCCTTTTCACATGTTGTGCTTGAATTATGGGATCACATGATTTTTTTGTGAAATTCACATGGATATTTTCACTGGTTATGTGATTTATTTTATGAGTGTTGAAATTCAAATTAAAAATGAACCACGTGAATATGGATGAAGTGTCGTTCAGATTTGCGGGGGTCCACGAAATATTAAAGTAGGGCAAGATGGGTCAGCTAGTACATTTATTAATGGTTCAATACAACCCCAATGATGTTTTTTTCAGACCAGCATTGTGGCTACATTGAGCCTGTTGATGTTGACAATCAAAACAATAAATAAATGAAGTAGATGACCTACCTTTCCCCACCTTACCCTACGCCGTATCATGAATTTCAAAATATTATATAATACGATCAACTTTGTTTTCGTTGTTATTTACTTGAACTCATTGAGCATCATAATTCCGGAGTAATTTTATCGTCAGTAGCAGTAACAGCATAAATTGACAGGCTTGAAATGTTTTTTAGGTTCTAGAACATAGATAATTTGTTACAGATTTTAAACTTAGACAGTTTTATGAAATTATTGATCTAATAAAATTAAATTTGAACGACAATAAATATTCAAGACGTCGGAATTGTTAGGAAAAGTTGAAGTGAAATCTGATGGTGCCATTCATCAGGTGAAAAGTAAAGAAAATTTAAGGGGGTAGTTCTGAATAGAATTACAAGCGAATCCTGGGTAGGATTCAAAGCAAATTTACAAGAGAATTCTGCGGAGGATTCAAAGGGACTTATGACTAAAGTTGCAAGAAAAGAATTGTAAGGAAAAAGTGAATTCTAACTTTGAATTTGTGAGGAATACTTCAAGGTTCTTATGAGTAGAATTTCAGGCGAAGAAGGAGAATCCAAAAAGAATTCTGGAAATAATGCAATGAAAATTCTTAGCATAATTCCCTTGAATTAAAAAAAATACGCAGGAAAATATCAAGTGAATTGCAAGGAAATTTCAACCAAAGTTTTGAGGTAATTCGGAGAGTTTTAAGACTGTTCCTGTAATATTTTTGTTTTTGAAAACTCAAATAAGAATTCCTAAGGTATTCTGAGGAGCATTTCTAATAATTTACGAGAAAATTCCTTAATAATTCTGAGCGGATTTCAGAGAGTATTCCGAAGATAATTCCAATATTAGAATACTTAGTGTATATTTAGGAGTGATTTTTCAGGAGAATTCTTGGTGGAATTTCTAGGTTGTACAGCGAGACGTATTTTAATAGAACTGTACGGTAAATCAACTTGTGTTTTATAAATGATTTCTAGAGTGTTATGGAGCAAACTGTAACAGAATACCAGAGAGAGTTCTAAGATCAGGGGCAGTAAAGGAGAGTTGACTGCAACTTTCGAGTCTATCAGCGCTTGTTGCAATGGTTCATGTTTCACTCAATTCTTTTATATAAAAATATCGAAACAGAAATTGTTTGTTCTAGATCCCTCGATAAAAAATGCCTGTAGTAGTCTCAAAATGCAGGAAACTGTCTTTCAAATCCCCGGTTATTTTGCCTTTTTCTAACTACATGCCCCCGGAAGTTACTTCCGATTTTATTTGAATGATTCTTCAGACTTGCCCGGGAGTTTATTTTTGTATTTATTCAAGAAGGCTCTTCCAGTTTTGTTCGGAAATTTATTTTCATCTCCAGTTTCATTAGAATGTTTCTAACGGTTTCTACCGGAAGATTTGTCCAAATGTTTATTTTGACTTTCCCAAGGAGATTCTTGTAATTTATACTGGAAGTGCTATTTGACTTCCCCCAGGAGTCCTACTGACTCACCCCAAAAGTGTCTTTTCACTTCATCCGGAAGATCTTTAAATTTTCTCTGAAGGTTTCGTCCGACTTGTTTACTTTTCCTGGATGTTAATCTCCAGACATATTCTGTCAGATTCCCCTGGATGCTTCTTCCAACTTTCCCTGGAAGTTTATGTGGATGTTTTGTGGAAGTTCTGTTAAACTACTCAAAACACAGCTTCCACTGTAAATTTCTCTTGATGTATTTCTCTTGATGTATTGATAGATTAAATGTCCCTGGTCCAGATGCTCTACTTACAGTGAAATTGTACATTTCTATTTAATTCCACTACCTTATTTGTTTATCCTTGATAGATACGTGTATTTCGATTACAATGTACAGACTTCCATCGCAACTTACCGAATATATATTAACCTAGGCACATTTTCACTTAGGAGCTAAGTAAACTTAAATCTTCTTAAAGCATATTTTTCAGCTGTTTTCCAGGAACTTGAACTATCTTCCCTGCAAATGGTAGGAAATTAGAATTCATCATCACGTCATTTATACAACCATCAATGACAGCCAAATCGGGTAACCAGCTCACCTACATTGGCCACATCCGACCATGCTCCGGGTACCTTCGAGGCAGTGATTAGGACCAAAATCCAACTGGGTCACATCAAATTACATCAGAATTTAAAAAAATATATATAGGGCATATCAAGTGTCCAAGACTAGAAAAGTTGCTTGAAATTTGATTTAAGAAAAAGGATCAGATCGCTCCATAGGTGGATAGATTCAGATTGTTGTAGATAATTAATCATTTTGTCAAGCTTGTGTATTCATGTTCCATCAGATGTCACTGCTGTTGTTTGCGGTGACATTTATCGGAAACTACGCATAATCTGTTTTACGTTAATTGTTCTCAGAGGACTGTGTAATGCAAAACTTGTCTGGTACCTCTATACATGCATTTATATTAATATTCGAAGTCCCTCCTTTTTTACACATTCTGCACACCAAATAGCTCACCCCTCACCGAATTTCCCACCGATTTTTATGAATAGGGCGAGGCAGAAAGTATCTTTTGTGCAGAATATGTAAAAAAGGAGGGACTTCGAATGTTAATCGGAATGCATATAAGAGGTACCAGACATGTTTTACAGTGACAGGTTCTCTATTTTGTAATCTGTGAAAGGGAAATCACAAATTGAGTGTCATCAAAATACATGGCATGTTGAGAGATTGAGGTCGTGAGAGAGACTTTTCTCTCTTAAATTTGATTTTTTGGCTCTCTGGGGACTGGTAGTAAAGCAGGTAAAACTGTATGGGAAAAAATCATTTTTATTCAATTAAAGCTTGTTTATCAATAATTTCCGGAAAAAAACTGAACGACTATGTCCCTGACTAATTTCTTTAGGTTGTCGTTCACTTTTTTTTGACCTGAATATGCACCGAAAGCGAATTATTCCCACTTCTCTCAATTTCTAATGGGGATTTTTATTACTTCGTACCAGCGGAACAGCGCCATCTCTGTGGAAAAAGCCGGACAATATGATTACTTAACGGTCACAGGGACAGTGTGCAAAACTATTTGTATATCAAGCGAAAACGTAGTCGCGTTTGACGCGAAGTGTTATGGTTATGAGATGCTCGATGACCCTGGAGGGATCGTTTTTGCTTACTGAGCAGAAAATCATGGGTTTAATCCCAAGCTCTCCGTCATGACTCTTAAAATTCATGATCACTAAACAAAATGAATATGTTCTTTCGATAGTCGGCTATCGAGAGATTAAATAAACAATACATACTTTTGATTGCATCGCCAACTTGAGGTGAATCCAAACCGAATACCCTACCCAACCCTCCAACTCCGTAGCACTTATGAGGGTGTCGCTAAGTCGCTGGCCTCTCGTTAAGTAAGTACTACATCAACATTTCCTTCCCTATCCCTACTTATGGTAAAGATGGGCGTGGCCGGGAAAAGCGACAGTCATGCTTCTGTTACTCTTGTTTAGATTGGAACCAATGTTTACTCCCCAGCATTATTCCTGGAAGTAGTCTAACTGAGAATTTCAGAAAAGACGTGAGTGTCGCTAGTATCCAATCTACGAAGTATATCATAACAACGCTAACGCTAACAGGGACAGTGTGCAGAACTGTCATGTAACTTTTGCATTTCATACTACGATTTTTTTAAATTTTAAATTGAACAACAATTTTCCGATATACAAGAACTGGTAAACGTGAAACGTAAATGTACTACCGTAGAACCCCGTTAATTTAAATAGCTAAATCGCAATCGAACGACCCTCATTTAGAATTTGCTTAACTGGTACCTCTACACAGGTGCGTAACGCCATTGGGCACCTGTATAGGAGTATTAGTTAAACAAATTCTAAATAAGTGCCATTTAATTGCAATTTTAGATATCCAAACTAACGAGGATCTACGATGTAGTCGAAAATTTGCATTAGGTATATATACAATTAAACTTTATCACCGTGCGATTTGCGTGATTTACGATGTATACATTATTACGCAATTTTGTAATAAGACATTTTGTATTTATTGTACCTATTTGTGTCAGAATAGAATGTCTCCGATTTGTATTGTACAAAACTAAACGACGAAAATAAGCACCAAACGATCCAGTTTCGTCACGTCAAACGCCAAGAAGAAAATTGCTTAAATGATAGCAGTTGTAATAGAAATTGAAAACCCTTAGATCGGATAACATGCTTTGTTAATTATTGCAACAAAACCGAAATGACTCGAATAGAATTAACTTGAATGGAAACAAGTGACCATTCAACCAACCTGATAATCACGATTGTTAAATTTATTGGTCTGATGTTCGAAAAATTATATACATACCAAATAACCTGTACATCAACTTAATATGTCGTTTTCTCTCTTTCCCCTCATAATCTAGGCCCCGTGGAAGAGGTCGCGGTCGAGGACGTGGAATACGTGGACGCTTCGCTGCAATAACCCAAAGCGCTTCAGCGGTACTAATTCGACAGGGTAAGTAGTGATTATTTTTGTCTTAGCTATGAATCGATTGAAGTGTGTCAGGTTTTGTTCCGGTGGAAACGTAATGTATGTTCATTCCCAACTATCACTCCATTCACAGGTGACACCGAAGCGGATGATGCTCTATCGCCTCCCGCCTTCGCTGGCGTGGGGTCATCTTCACCGATTCGCCGTGGTCGTGGCAGTAGAGGAGGCCGCGGTCGTGGACGTGGACGTGGTCGTGGTCGGGGTCGTGGTCGTGGTCGAGGCCGTGGAAGCCGTGGTGGCCGGGGTGGACGATCCAACTCTGCCAGTCCCCTCAAACCGGGAAGTCCCATGAAGTACACTCCCGGCTCGGAATTCAGTGCTTTCATGACGCCAGATGGAACTGTAAGTGATGCCTCAATGCAAATATATTTCTAATATCTTTCAAATGCATCGATTGTTGCAACGACTCTACGCCAAGGTTCGTCGACCTTACGTGTCCAATCTCCCATGTACAGTGACCTATACGATAATCGCTTTTGATTTGCGTACGCTTCCTTTCAGTATCTGCTATGAGCATATTACTGCTTCTACTTATTGCCAGCTACCTGCTAGGCGTACTAGTAAACAGAGAGCGCAAACTTAACGCAAATATTGTGCACTTATTACGAATCCTAGAGGCTTGCCTCCTATCCCTCGTGCTCTCTCGGGTGTGTGTCTATCTCTCACACTCTAATTTTGCTCGTTCTCTCTATCCACCCACCCATCCATCCATCCATGGTCCACCCAGTCTTGTTTCCACACCGGACGGGATGGATGATATGGTCCTCACCGCACCTTTACGAAACTGCTCGACTCTCGGGGTTGTTGGCGGCAAAGCATCGTCATTGTCGCTTTCGGACGCGCGGTGGTCCATATCAGCTCTGTTTGTGCAGCCCAGAGCCGGTAATGCGCGTGGAGAAAGAGAGGGAAGGCGTGTAGCGGTGGATTTGTTTTTTCGTCAGATCCGTCATTGCAGTTTTTGTTTTGCTCCGGATTTTCCGCTAGATGTGTCCGTCCGTGGTTCAGCTCAAACATCTCTCGTGTGTGGCGCGTGGCGGTTGGCGGGACAAACGTTCGGAGCCAAGCAAACTAGTTGCCGTCGTCCACTGTGTGGTTTCGACGCCCGTTGTACGTTGTAGCGCGCGCGACGCTGTGGAGTCCTTGCAGATGGACGCTCATCGTTGCGGAAGCTACAGGGTACAAAGCGTAGTTACCCAAATAAGCTCGCAAGACACGGTAGGGTAGTAGGTCCCTTTCTAGGAGTTTGGTCACTTTTTTATTTATTTTTTAAGTAGCTTACACAAAAGTAACTAGTTAGTCTATGTTTCTTTTTTGTGTCACACTTCAACAAATGTGTTAGCCATTAAATTGTACAGAGTTGCTACGACTTTATAGCTCCGTTTCGCGGATTATCAACGAAAACTAAACCGTTGTTATAATTGTATTTTTCAATAATCAATTCAAGTGTCATAACAAACATGTAAAATGTGTTGCTCAGTAAGTTCCCGATAAATATTATTTGCAGATTCTTATAGGTAACTATCATTAGATTTAATCTACTGATACTCAGCAAAATTAAAAAAGATTTTTCGCAGCGGGGAAAAAAGTAGGTCTTTAAGTGCATAGTGAAAGGTAATTGGAAGTTTCATCAATATTACTAGATCCTAACTATCTTGATTTTAAAACACTCCTAAAATTTTGAAAATCCCGTGGTATCCGAAAGTGAAGAATTGTCGTGAATAACACAAGCTGGTCTTCCGGAGAATCCGTAAAAATTACCAAGTTATTAAACTGATCCCAGAGCTCGGAAATTGGTTCGAAAACTAGTGATGCACCGAATAGTGCTATTCGGCGTTTACATTAAAATATTATCTGATATTCGGCCTTTTGTCAGTGGCCGACTGCCTCGTGAGAGTCTGAATGATTGAGAGGTAAACGAGTCACTGACAGCCGAGCCCTCAGTCAGTAGCTCAGACAGCACGTTTATTCTGCCGTGATGGTACCCAATACTTGTTTTGAATGACTGAGCGTACACGGTAAGAAAAAAATACCCAACGGCCAGTTCACTTTTACCTACTTTTGACTAGTTTGTCTCCTTTTCTCCTACTAATGTTGTCAAAAACGGAGGAGCAAAACCACCCAACAGGGGTAGTAAAGTGTGGGAACCCAACGTTGAGTATAATCATATTTACCTACTGTTGGGTACAACTAACTTACTTTTGGTTAAAAAGCCAGTGGAAAATTCCATACGAACTGCACACAAGTAAATGAAAATTACTTTGACCCGCTTTACCTACTTTTGGGTTCCTGCACTATAGTGCCGAGATGAATGAAAAGAACTTAATTTTGGGTACTTTTTTCTAACCGTGTACATTTTCTATGGAAAAATGACTCAATGACATGCGGTGTGAGCGAAGGCAAGCGGTGTGAGTCGCTTGTTCGTGAGTGACTGAATGTTTTTGTTGGCTCTTTCATTGCCTCGTCCTTTACTGTTTGGTACAAACGGCCTGCACAGAGCAATGGATTGAATAGTGTAGTGCTTTCATGTGGACCGTACACGATTGCTTTTATTGACAATAATCGTATTGTCAATACATTTTATATTGACGTCAATACATCGGTATTGACAATATTTCTGTATTCACATCATCAATATTATTGTCAATACTTGTAAGTATTGACAATATTTCTTACCGTGTGGGGTTCGCTTCACACTCAGCGTAAGCAGTCAATAATTATACGCTATGCGGAGTGAGATGAGAAAACGATGATAGAAATTTTCATCAAAATCTCATCGATTTTTTTGTTATGACAGAACGTGACAGTGTTGTGAACATCGCAATTACTAGCTCATTTATAGATATTATTGTTACTAGTATCTCGGAAATCTTAAAAATAGATTCACTCTTCCGATTACATACTTTTGCTTGCCTAAATAGCACACAGCATAGTCCAAATTTCGTGGCCGTAGAAGACAACAAGTCTAATTTACATTTTGTAGAAAGTCGACTTCTTGTGGTGGCGAACTTTATTCTATCGCTCCGGTCCACTCCTTCCTTCGGAGTCCAAAGTATGCACGATTCCCTGCCATCATAATGCGTCTGAATTTGTCTGTTGGTATCATTATCGGCGGTCATCAGTGATCCAAAATACACGAACTCGTCGACCAACACCTTCCAAAGCTATGTTAAACAGTAGATACGAAAGCTTATACCATTGTACCATTTTCGAAATTCACTAGGAGTCGTCAGCGTTCCCGAAATTTGGACAACGCACATCACTCGATTAATTATCGCCTTTACCAATCACGTCAGTTTATTTGGAAATGAGTGAAAGATTTGAATGTTGAGGCTGCTTCGCCATGATTCTCTGCGTCTGCTTCTGCTACGATGTCTTACCAGATTCCAGATTGTGGCCAACCCATCACCAATTACGTTCTCGTTATGGATCTACTGATATCGTTCTCTGATGACATCGACGATGGAGCTTAGCATTCGAGATAGAGTTGTGACGACATCAAGCATATTTGAAGATCTGCAGCTTGTTCACTGACGTATAAAAGAAAAGAAAATCCGGGTATTGGCTCGCTGACTAATCCTGTTAGATCTCCAAATATGATTCTTGCATCTATCAATACATGGTTCTACCAGCTGAAGCTATCTGGCTGCTAAAATATTTGAGAATTCGAGGCTATCAACTAACGGAGGGCCTTAGATAGCCTAGACAATTACGGCAAGCTATTATCTGCGTCGCATAACCTAACATTGAAAACCTAATTTATGAATTGTAAATTTTTCGAAAAAAATGAAATTGTAAATTTTTCCGCCAGTATTTAATTCCTATATAAATAAATTAAACTATTTTAGGCATTTATATTGTTCACAATAACAATAGTAACTATATCTCAGTACACAACATCCAAAACATGCGAAACGTTTTCAAAAATACATGAAAATCGATAAAAATTTAATATCACAGTAATAAGCCTTTTTGTGAATCTTTAAATGGTTAGACCCTTTTTGTTAAGCCGTTGTGCTTGTCATCATAAATTGTAGGCCCTTTGCTAAGCCTTTTCTTAACGTCAAATAAATCATCGGCCCTGCCTCAAGCAGTAGGGCCTAGCTTTGATTTGAAATTTTTCAATCATCGGCCCTTCTACGTCGCTAGGCTTATGAATGGAACCTCATCGAACGAAAAAAAATATATGTTAGGCCCGAGGTAGGCCGTTTTAGCATGAATGATTGGAAAAATTTCGTGGATCGGCCGTTTTTAAAATCAAGTTATTTTTAATGATTTTTATCGATAATGCGGAACATTCCTATACGACTGGTAGCTAATTACCAGTGCTACAGAATGGTATCAAAAATCGGTTTGTTTACATTTTGATCATAGGCCCTATTCAAATGTTACGCGAGAAATCAGGTTTGCAAAACTGATGCACAGTTAGAAAATGAGGTTACGTGACGCCACTGTCTTTAAGGTTGGAAATTTTCAAGATCTCCCTGGACGTAGAGTGTTGTTGTGCTAGTCACACAATATTCAAATTCATGCACTGGTGGGCATAGAAAGCTCTCATAACTGTGTAAGTGCTACAAAGAACACTAAGAGCCGACAAATCGGTCTCTTAAGAAAAACACAAGAAAAATAAGAAGAAGATAACTAACCGGATAGGATAGGATTATGCAGGACTCTGCAGGTTTAAGCCTCGTTCAGAAGATGACTTCGTGTAATGAACATTCAACCTGGTGAACAGTGTGCATTTCCGAACAAACACGTCAATCGCCGATTTCTTGCGAATAAAAGCTTAATCTCGAAATCTAACAACATAATCAGGCAGACGAATGATTCCTCTACCATTTGGTATGGTTTGTTTGTAAGATTGAGCTTTTATCAGCGAGAAATCGGTGTTTTTTTTCTAATAGTTTATTTGTTCGGCTCAAATTTCCAAAAGGACTCCACGGAGCCGAGAACCATTAAATAATTTAATCAGTGGCGTTTCCTTAACCTCAATCTACCTGTGCAACAACTCTCAAAACAAAAACAATCATCAAAATATTGCTTGCAATGGATAGATATCGAGTAAACTAGAAGATTAAGTGTATTTTTCAACCGATTCGAGTATGAAGATGGCATTAAATCTGGTTTTGAAAGTTGTTGAACAGGTAAAAAGTGAGGTTATGAGACGCCACTGAATTTAATAATTACATCAAAATCGAAAATTTACCAAAGTAAAAAATGTCGCAGGTATAAAAGGGAGATTGTTGCGCTGCCAGTGAAAGTTTTAATGCTCAAAATATATAAATTTGATGCTAAAAAATTACAGATATGGAATTGTTTTCACGGCGAATGTTACTAGCAGCTAT